AGTGGATGAAAAGAATAGAGCCTGTGGAATAATGTCAAGTGTTCTAATATACGTACTTACGGTGTCAGGGAATAGAAAAACTATTCAAAATTTGGTTAAAAATATCAAACCGCCACTCTTGGAAGCCCAGCAAAGGCTAAGCAGGATAAATATGTATTAAAAACACATTAAGGCACATCATAATCAAATTTCCAAGAACCAGTGACAAAGAGAAATATCTTTAAGCAGCCAAAGAGAGAAGATATGCTGTGTAGAGGAACTGAGATAAGATTGATTGCTGACTTCCCATCAGAAATAATGCAATCCAGAAGACAATGGAGTGGCATCTCGACATGCTAAAAGAAAATCTGTCAACCTGAAAGTCTATATTCAGTGAAATATCATTCAGAAATGAAGTTGAAATAAAGACACTTCATACAATCAAGAAATGTAAGAATTTGTCACCACTAAACCTTCACTACAAGAAATATTAAAGGCTAGAGGAGGAAAATACCAGATGGGAACCCAAATCTACACAGAAATTAAGAGTGCTTGAAGTGTCACTGTTAGCAACTGTTTGGAATGAACCAAGAGAAAGGAATTGAGCAAGCCAAACCTCTGAGCAAGGATTGGCAAACTGGCCCACAGGCCAAATCCAACCCACCCCCTGTTTTCGTGTCTTGTAAGATAAAAATGATTTTTTGCAGATGAATATTTGCAATTGATTTCATTATAGGGAACAGTTGATTTAGAATTCTATTTAGGTAAAATATCATCCCTCAACTAAGGCAAAAAAAAAAAAAACTATCCTCATAGTAGACCTGTATTATAAAATATCCTTAATTTTGCCCCTTGGCTCATAAGACCTAAAATATTTACCCTCTGGCCCTTTATAGAAAAAGTTTGTCTTAGGAAGTGAAGGAAAAAGGGACCCTCTCCTATCAGGCAGTGTTCCAAGGCTTCACATGTGTCACGTAACTCTTGCAGCTATTTTGGGTTTTATCTACATTTGTTATGTAACTTCAAGATCATTTGACTTTACCCTAGCATTATATACTCCTAATAACTCTGGGAGGCAGATATTATTCCCACCCATCAAGTGAGTAAACTGCGGCTCAAAGAAGTTGCGCCGCTTGTCCAAAGTTATATAGAAAGGATAACAGGCTGTGCTTTTCTCTCTGCCACTGACACAAAACCAAACAGTCAAATGTCTGTGCTTCTTTCTCGTAGATGACTAGCCTAGCACCAACTCAGGCTTTATAAAGTCTTTTTAACAAACTTCAACCATGCTTACTTATCTGGCCTCTTTTCCTGGTTAAATGCAGGTGATTCTGGATAGATGAGGCCTTGTTATTGTTAATTAGCCTCACATAGAACACTTGCAAATTCTAGTTTGTCACAGACTGAGTTCCTTCCATGGAGGAAATTTCCAGATACAGAACTTATTTTTTGCTAACTTTCAAAAGCTTAAGAATAAGAGCTTAAGAATTAATTAATACTTGGTTATTGAAACAGCTTAGACTTCAATGAAATCATCAAAAGGCCCCCTAAACCTTTGCTCTTAATTCACTCCCTGAAGTACATAGAAGCGTTTCTGCTGCATAGAGAAGTAGAATTCTTGTTTCTTAAGGCAAAACACTTACAAAGTTATTTTTATTTGAAAGAATTACTGACAAACTATGGTTATCCAAAATTGAGTCTTTGGCAGACATTTTTTTTAAAAGTAAAGGAAGTGGACCTATCACTTCAAGAAAAACAAGTGACAGTGCTCTGTGCCAGTGATGAAATTCAAGTCTTCGGGTGAAAACTAGTTTTCATCACTGTGAGGTTGGCTTCTCGTTGCTTAAAGACTTTTCTGATGGGCATCAGTGGTGCTATTGATGAAGGTAATTTTTTTGATGGTGCATAATAAAATATTTCAGCATCTGGAAGGTCAGCACAGCTTAGTAAACCAATATTTCCCAGACTACTGCACGATGTTACAAAAAGATTCAGAGTGTGAAACCCAACTAATGGATTTTAATGTAACTGAGTACAGAAAGTTTACTAATGAGGTTTTATTTGTTTGTTTTTAAAATACATTTTTTAGTGGTCAGTGGATCTTTATTTTTTTTTATATATATGTGGTGCCGAGAATCAAACCCAGTGCCTCACACATACTAGGCAAGCACTCTACCTCTGAGCTACAATTCTAGCCCCAAAGTTTTGTTTTTTAATAATTTTTTGTAATTGTAATTTTTATACTTTTATTTTTAAAAACATTTATTTTTTAGTTGTAGCTGGACACAATACTTTTATTTTGTTTATTTATTGTTTTATGTGGTGCTGTGGATCGAACCCAGGGCCTCACACATGCTAGGCAAGTGCTCTACCACTGAGTTATAACCACAGCCCCACTATGAGATTTTAGATTCCATATTGAGTAGTAATTAAAATCCAAGGGGCAAACTTGACAGAGGATACAAGTAAAGTTAGAAGAGGTGAAGAGCGAGGTGGAATACATGAGGATCACCATTAACAGGAAGGAGGGAGTGAAGACAGAGAGGAAACAGAAACTGGCAAGAGAACTGGCCTGAAGAACCAGGTGGCTGTGGCTCCATGGAAACCCAGGTACGGGGTCTTCAGGAAATATCCGATACAGCTGAGAAGGTTCTTCAGGGGCTCTCAACATTGAGGGTGTAGTGGCCTTAGCAGGAGTGATTTCACTATATTAGAGGAAGGGGGGAAATCACGTTGCTGTAGGAGTTTTTATAATTAGACTTAATTATGTTTACAGGAAAGAACCAAAGAGCGAGTTTGAAAAGTATAGGCAGAAGTATAAATAGGTCAGATGCAGCTGCTCCAACAGTCAGAGAGGTCATTATAGTCCCTCCGCCTCTGCTTCTGGATGCTCAGGGAGGAGCAGCAGTTGAATTGCCATTTGAGTTATATTGAACTGAAGCTCTGCAGGCAACTCAGGGCTGATGCTCACAGCGAGGCCCAAGAAGGCATGCGTGTTCACCTCCGAGACCAGAGAGACCCAGCCCAGCCTTTTCTACAAGCACCTACAGAAGTACAGCCTTTCCCAAAGAAAGTACACCTCCATCAGTTTCTCCCAAGAAGCCCAATGGGAGTTTCCCACACCCTTTCCAAACCAGGGGGATCAGGAAAAATCAGACCCTAGAAATTCATTTTTTTTTAAAGTTATAAAGCCTGTTATAAAGGAATTGAGAAATGCTTAAAAAAAAATTCCTCGTGGCCTTCTTTATGATGCTGGCCATTTATGCTAAGCCGGATGCCCGGGAGTCAGCAGCATGAACTATGGTGCACATCTCCATACTGGAGTGAAGTGTAGCCATTGAAAGAGATGGCTAGGGCCAAGTATGTAGGTGCACACCTTAACCCCAGCTGCTCAGGAGGCTGAGGTGGGAAGATCCCACGTTTGAGGCCAAACTTTAGTTTAGTGAGACTTTGTCTCAATATAAAAAACAAAAAGTGCTGGGGATGTAGTTAAGTAGTAGAGCACCCCTGGGTTCCATCCCCTGCAACAGAAATGGTTGTAGAGACAGACTGTGTTGCGGCAGAGGCAGGGGTATGATAAAATGTTAAGTTTAAAAAAAAATTAGCTCAGATTTTAGTATACAATGCTGTAGGAATAAAATGATTACAACCATGTGAAAAACATGAGGACAGCTAGAAAAGTGACCGTGATGTCCTTGTGTACCAATGTTAGGATCATGGAGTGAAATGTGGCGGGTTTTCCTTTGTCTTCTGTATTTCTAGCAATTTTTCATGTAATTTTTTAATTGAAGCAGAAAGAAATTCAAGTTTATTTCTGGTGTTCTTGACAAGGAATTTTAGACAAAGGTGAGTTCAGGCTCATTTGGAAGTCCCAGCTTTGACTAGTCATTACCAGCCACAGTGCCACCAAGTATGCTAAGGGACCCTCCTGTCCACAATCTGCATTGGGAAGCTAAGCACTGTTTGGCAGGGGATGTCGAAGTCGTTGTCCTCTTAGCCTTAGCTACCCCCATTTCTAGTACCAGCAGTCTTTCTAGGGTGGCTTCTCCCCTGCAAGGGCCTGAGGAACCTGTTTCAAATGCATAATGCAGAAGATAAATTAAAGCACAGAAGCTCAAATGTCTCCACTTCTGACATTCGTGTTGCTAATTGGTTTCTGCTCAGTGTTAGAGTCCATCTTCTCTGGTTTACTTTGAAAAAAAAATGTTTGTGTAAATACATTTTTGCATATCCATATTTTCATTTCAATATTCAAAAGCAGATGTATAGTTTCAGTGTCTTCCTTGAGTGTGTGACCAGTACTTAGATGCCACATTTATACCATGTTACATTGCATTTTATTCCTACAGCACTGTAAAAGCTAGACTGTTCAGACAAGGACAGATTAAAAAAGTAATGAGCATTTTATCTTCAAGTATCAGTTCCATCACAGTTGTAACGAATTTCCACCATCCATTGAGCCCAGGGATGGATATGAGATAGACACATTCATGCATGTGTAGGTGTAATGTGCATACATCATGTAGTTGTAATCATATGTGTGGAGGTGATGACACAAAACCCCACAGGTGGAGCTCACCCCAACTCTACCTCCGGGGTTCATGTTTTTATTCTCAGCATGTCAGGTTTCTAGGGTTGCCTTAATTTCCAAACAGAATTTAACAGTCCAGGCAAGTTAATTGGAACTAAGTGGAATATTGACTTTGATATACAGTTTTTCTCAGCTGACACTTTGATAGAGGCACTGTGCTCCTGTGGCTTACCTCTTTCCTATGAAATTGCTGGTATTCTTTGAAATTTTGAGGGTAACTTGCCCACCTGATTCCCTCTAATGCCCCGAGTCAGATGCCCTAGTGGGCTGCAGCCAAGAAGGTGGCCTGAGCCCTCTTTATGCCTTCCCAAGGTGACCTGGAGACACTGAGGCTGGCAGAGGGTGACACAGACTCTTCTTACTCAGTTCATCAGTGTTTACGTGCAGCTTGTTCCATCTTCCCTGACACTTCTAGAAAAAATTTAGCATGTAGCATTAATTACTTGTGTTTATTGACAGATTTGTTTTCAGCAAGTGGTGAATTAACTTGTTAAGTTTGACTGTATAGGTTTGGATTGGTTAAAGCTATACAGTGTGAGTTCTGATGATTAGCTCTTATTCTGATGGAGAAGTCCACAGTTCTGCCATGTTCTCTTCTGTGTGGTCCTCTAGCAGTCCCTTTTCAGCACGCTTCCTGCACCTGTCAAGATCAAAACCACGTCCACACCTACCTTTGTGACTGTGCATCTGGTCTCGCTGCCTCCAGGGGTCCAGGGAACATCGGGAAACACAGTTCTCCCATTTATTTTTACTGCCTGCTCAGAACACACTAGTGGCCCTATCAGCTCATGAAGCTCGCGTTTTCCCATGTCACCTCCTACTTGCCCATCATGCATGACCCTGTTCTACTCGGAGGCTCCCACAGAGCCAGTTTGTCAGTGCTGTGTCCTTGCTGTGTGGCCCCTGCCTTGTTACACTCAGCTAACACCCCTGTCCTCCAAGATTGCTCAAGTGTCAGCTCTCCAAGAAACTGTCCTTGAGGGCCCTCCTCACTCCAAGCCAGCCACCTCTACCTCCGCGTCTCCACGGCAGCTCCCTGTGCTCACCTTCCCCCTAGTGCTCACTACACTGGACTATCTGTGTTCATTTCCTGTCCCTTGCACTAGCCTGTGCTCTTGGCAGAGCCTGGACTGAATAAAATTGCCCTCCTGGGCATCCATCAAAACAGCAGGCCTGGGCTGGGGATGTGGCTCAAGCGGTAGCGCGCTCGCCTGGCATGCGTGGGGCCCGGGTTCGATCCTCAGCACCACATACAAAGATATTGTGTCCGCCAAATACTAAAAAAAAAAAATAAATATTAAAATTCTCTCAAAAAAAAAAAAAAAACAGCAGGCCTTCAAGCAAGAGCTCCTGGGAATGAGCTCCCCTTTGTCCTGTGGTGTCTAGCATGGGTGAAAACATGGCTGCTGCCCTTGAACTAGGCTCAAGGAACAATTATCAGCTAATTTTTAAAAAATTATCAGCTAATTTTTTCAATATATGATTTATACCCCAGAGCTCTTGCTCCTGGCTCTCCACTGCTATGGCTGTCCACCAGCCTTAGCCTGGTTACTAAATGACAACTTTAATTGTTTTGGTACAAACACAGCACTCCAGATGGACCCCTCCATTCCCTCCTGGTGGGGTGAGCGGTTTCACTGGGAGGGAAGAGCACATCAGAGATGAGATGGCTCTTCTTCATTCTACCTGCTCCTCTCCCTCAACCGGACACTAGAATGAACACAGGGGACAGGCAAGGGACCCACAGCCCCCCATGCACAGCAAAATACAGAGCACAGGCATGGGGTCAGCTGACCTTTCAGGAGACTTGGTTTGGGATAATTTTTTTTTTCTTCCACATGACTGTTGTCCCTCTCCCCTGTGAGCCTGCAGTTGACAGGCTCCATGGTGCCACAGCCCCAAGGGGAGAGTATCCAGGCATCCTTCCTGAGGCCCCAGGCCCATGCAAGCTGCACATCCCAAGTGCCATTTTTAGGTTTGACTATACCTAAAGTCCCAGACTGTCTTTAATGGTGTCTCAGCTTTCCAGGCAAATATGCTCCCTGCATCTTGAGATTTAGTTTTGTCAGTGACGAGCAGGAGCAGGTGGTGTAGACCGTGCATGAGATCACTTATCAGAGGGGCCAGTGAACCCCGAAGCTTCAGGTCTGTGGGCCTCCCTAAGACCTTCTGGTCCTTTCTAGCCCTAGGCTCTGGTATCTGTGTCTGTCATGGCCACGTGTCAGCAGTAAGGGCTCCTGCGGGGGTTGTCTCTGTTCGTCCTTCACAGCCCTGTGTCCTTCATAGATGGCCAACAAAGGTATCTCTATTGTTCCTCCACATGGTGATGTCACCAGCAAGACTTCAGTGTTCTATGATGATGACTGCAGACACACACACACCCCGATTTAAGTAAGATTCACTCCCTTATCAGAAATAAGTAATTTATATATTAACAGTGATTAGCTTCCAGTCAAGCATTCTGACTTTTAGTGCCATGATTTAGAATCAGGCTAAATTTGTCAAGTGACTGAAAGTGGGGTTTTTAAGAAATTATCAGCTAATTTTTTCAATATACGATTTATAGTCACAATTAGTATATCGTAATGATGTTTCCAGGATAAAATACCAGCAGCTCAACTTTTCTGGCCACAAATGTACAGCATATATCAGTTTATTTTTGGAGATCTGAAAAATTAGCTACTGTAAATAAAGTCTCCAAGATTTCTCCCGGAAAGAGGTGAACTTACAGTAATATGGGTGATATATTATTAATTAATAACTGACCAGCCACTTCTTCAATTAAAAGGACAACGAATGAGGAGGTCTACTGGAAGGATATGCTGAATTTTAATCTTCAGGCACTGAGATCCACTGGAGCAGACCAGGGGAAGTGTTTCTAGCTGATGCAGGAGGCCAGCCACAGGTGGATATGGGACCCCCCCTGCTCCTGGCTTTAGGCAAGTTTGCCGAGCATCAATGACGTGTCGCTCTTGGACAATGTTCTTTTGGTGCCAATAATGGAAACCAGTTTCAAAATAGCTAAGAATAAAGAATTAGTTTTTAGAGAGCTGCTGGGGCTCCCAGAACCCAAGGACAGCACATGCAGATAAGGGACCTTCACATGGGCTGAGACCAAGAGTTGCCAGGCAGGCCGGCATCTGTCTCAGTTCCGAGGAGGGATCTGGTTGCTGTGTCTGGCCCAGAGGTCAAGCACAGGAAGTGCAGACATGGCTGCAGGTGTGGCAAAACAAGAAACAGGTTTCCTTAACAAGCCGCATGCAGCAGGGCAGGCCTCCACCTGGCCATGGTCTATGAAGACTCGCCCAGTGTGGCACCATATGAGCCAGGTCACCAAGGACCAGCAAGGCCTTTGCACAAAGGTCAGTAAGAGGGCATCCGAGGTGATACAGAGCCTGTGCAGAGGTCAGGGCAGCACCACAGGCTGCCTGTGGGGACATGAGGCTAGATGGAGTAGGCCCAGAAATGACACTGTTATTCTGTAGGGGTGGGAAACAGGAAGGAGTTGGACTTGGTGGGATTTGTGTCAAAAGAGCTGGCCCCTCAGGCAATCTGCTCTGTGAGGCGCCACTCATGGTCTGTAGAGCCGTACCCTGTCCATCCTTCCGGGGCAGAAGTGACCAGCAGCCCTTGGGAACAGCTTCCATCTGGGACACAAGGCCAGGAACCCCTCCAGCAGGACTCCTGCTCCTCTAGGAGCCCAGGCCGTGGAGCAGAAGCTCCAGGAAGGGGCTGCGGTTGGCCCTGCCCTGCCTGCTGTGTTGACTTGGCTTTAAACAGTGTTAGTGCATTTCCAGAGTAATAATTTGGGGTCAGTTGGCTCTACCTTAAAAATATTCCCTTTCCACACAGTTATCCTATGGAAGCAGCCCCGTGGTAATGCAGAGCCTGTGCAGGAGCCTTCCTGGGGTAGCACTGCCTGCACACACTCCAGAGTGGAGCAGGCCCGGCTGGCCACTCAGTCTGTTCTCCTTTACTGTCCATTTTACACCCAGCCCGGGACGTGAAGACCAGCCACTCCAGGAACAGGACATCTGCCCAGCCTCCACCTACCCTCCAGTCGGGATGGTGAGGGGAGCACTCATGGGACCCTCATCACTGCCTCCCTCTCTCTGTCTCTCCAGGTCATGCAATATTTAAACTCACGTATCTAAGCAATCATGACTATAAACACCTCTACTTTGAGTCTGACGCTGCTACCATCAATGAAATCGTGCTCAAGGTGAGTGCTCCTTGACTCAGGGACGGGTCGAATGCTCCTGCCTGTGCCCTGTCTGGCCTGGCTTCAGCCACTTTCCCTCTCAGTAGGACTTGGATCCTGGGCCCAGTTTTGTAGATGAGGGAACTGGTGGCCCTGCTGATGCGCGCCAGGCCCAAGCCAGGCCTTGAGGTCAGCAGCTCCATGTCAGCCTAGCTGAAGCAGGACCCCCTTCAGCTGCCTCCCAGCCCCTAATGGTCCTGCTCCTCCTGTATCCCTGTGGTCCTTCCACGCACCGTTTATCTCCCTCTGAGCCCTGGCAGCAGCTCCTCAGGCCCCTGGAGCAGACCCAAGGAGACAGTTGCTGGGAAAAGGCTTCATCATGCTTGGGGTGCCCATCAGCTCCTGTTGGAACGCACCAGCTCCTACTGGGCTTTGCCAACCGCAGCAGTCCACCCTGAGCTCCAGATACCATGGTGACAGGCCAGTCCCTGTCCCCAGAGAGCCCTGCCTTTGTCAGGGGAGACAGAATGAAACAGAAAATTCACAAAAGATGATTATAGACACAGGGTACCAGGTAGATGGGAGTCGGGGAGAGTAGAACCTGAATGACGTGAGAGAAGGCGCAGTGTCTAGCAACCTGTGAAGGGCACAGGTGGAGGGGTTTGAACCAGAATTGACTCCCCCACCTCTGGTTGTGTGACCCCAACTCTCTGAGCCTCGGTTTTCCCACCTATGAGGTGGGGTCATGGTACTGATGCTGCCCCACCCCACCAAAGGGCTGCCGGCATGCAGAGCAGATGCCGCATGCCAGGACTCTCTAGGCATGGTCCATTCTCTTCTCAAGAGGAGACTCATGAATCAGGCAGTGACAATTGAAGCCGTGAAGATACACTGAGGGACTGCCCTGTACAGGACCTGGGCCGGGGGCTTCTTAGACCCAGTCTGGTTGGTCCTTCATAGGGCCATGAGACAGGCACATCCAATTGTTCCCATTTTTTGGGTGATGAGGCTCAAAGAAAAGTAACTTAGCCAGGATGGAGACTCTTAGCAGAACTAGAACTTGACCCTAGGCTTAACAGGTTCCAGAATTTATGTTTCTAATCCCCCAGATATGTGTTTAAAGAATTGAATGGGAAATTCCAACCAAATGGAATCACTTCTCAGGCATATTTTGAGCTCAAGTCTCATGATTGCAGAGGTCTTTGGAAGTAGCAGGAGAGAAGTCAGAAGCCTCATGCTGCTGGGAGGATAGTTAGGGCGAGATGGTCAGTGGAATGGAAGGTGGGAGATTCATGACCACCTTGACCAAGCCTCCCTCAGACAGAAAGTGAGAACAATGTACCCACCCGGCACTGTGGCCACCAGCAAGCTGAGATCATCACAAGACAGCCCAAGGAACTGCCAAGTGTTTGGGGAGTAGGTGAAGAAATATTCCAGTACCCCATCAGGGACTGGACTTATTTTTATAGCCAGCATTAAAATATTCAAGACTTGAGAAGGATTCTAGTGAAATTATAATCCTGTGTTTGACATCAAAATAATTTTCACAACAGCAGATTGATGACAGAAACACAGGTTTATGACTTCAATATGAGACTGTAGAAGATCAAGTGCAAAGAAATCATTTTACAGGACCAAATGCTCCCTGGAAGCAGATGCTTTTCTGCAAAACCCCTGAGGCCTGTCGCCTCCCCTAAAATGTCTGTTTTCATATCAAAATGTTTGTAAAAATATTGCATCATGCAGAAGACTCCAGGAGAGTCTCAGCGAGCCCAGGCCTGATTTACTCAGAGCTAATGATCGTGGTCCTGATGGAAGATTAAACTTCACTTCCCCCACTTCTGATTTTTATGGCAATTGGAGTACTTGGTCTTAGCCACATTCCCATGGTGTCGGGGCAGGCACCAGCACTGGCTAACAGAGCCCAGCCCCGTGCCCAGGAATTTAGCAGAAATGTTGCCCTTAGAGGCTCTGCAGGGTCAGTCTCTCTCGGGAGTTTTACATGAAATGAGAACTTTCATCAGAGGACAGGTTACAAGGAGAGGTGAGAGGAAGAGCTGTTGCTCTCCGTCACTTCACCTCATCATGTCTCGCCCCTTATAGAAATATTAACATCTCCCAATTTTTTGAGACTGACTACACATATTTCATGTTTGTTATCTCATCCAATCTTCCCAACTGTCCTGCAGAATGTGGATGTTGTCCCCATTTTATAGATGAGGAGTTGGAGGCTCAAGGCCACAAAGCACATCAGAGTGGAGCCTCAACTTGAACCTGGCCCCGAGGACTTGTAGAGCTGCCCTAATTCCACCAGAACGTAATTGAGCTAAGCCGTGTGTGGTCCCTGATTCTGTAGGCTTGGAGATGAATCTCCGAGGAATCGTTGGGCTCTTCAAATCAGGTTCTTCTCGTGATCGAGTGACGGACGCTGTGGCTTTATTGACCATGAAAACTCCCTATATTTTTATGCCTTAAGCTGTAAAATGCATTGAAAGTGAAACACTCTATAGTGCATAAAATTGTGCAAGTTTTAAGCCACAGCATATTAACCAGCTAATGGCAGACCAAAGGGCGTTTTTATCTTTTGATTATTACATTAATCTTCCATTAAAATTATCTATGTGATTATCACAAAGCACTGAAGATAATAAATTTAGGAAATAGTTGGCTTGTTAAGGATCATTTTAAAATGCTTTTGTCAAATTGCATGTGCCAAAACTACACTGAAAACTCTAGGTTGGCTGAGTGTGCAAACAATATAATCCAAAGATTGCTTTTATTAAAAATGATAAAACCTCCCGTTTCCATACATTGTCTGCATTGTCCCAGACGTGCACCCGGCCTGCAGGCCTCATGATTTATTGCTCTCAGCTGGTTCCTTGGCGAGGCAGTGGCCGAGCGTGTCAGGCCTTCTGGACCCACACACCGGCCCTCCCCGCCTGCTGCTGGTGACGATCAGAGCAGAAAGTTAGGAGGGACAGTGTCAGAGCCTGGGTCCTGCAACTGCCATTCTTGCTGTCTCCCCAGAGCCTCTGGTTCCTTCTTGGCTTCTCAGAGGCCCCTCCCTCCAGGCCCAGGACAAGTGGCCCTCAGAGTACAACCAGCATTGTGCCAGCTGCCTTCCCTCGCCAGGAGACTTGGGTTTCTAGTCTATTTCTAGACTAGAAACTAGTTCTATTTCTATAACTTGTAGAAACGTGAGGGCTTGGAGAAGCCATGGTGTTCACTCAAAGCCCAGCCCGGTGACAGCAGGCGGTGTCTGAGGAGGCTCTGTGCAGTGTGGGTGCTGCTCATGTGACCCTGAAAGACACACACACCCCCGCAGGGGAGTGCAGAGAGCAGCAGACGGCTGAGCATCTTCACGGCCCTGGCCCTGACTTCAGCCCCCTCGGTCTCCTTTCGGAGCCTCCCTTTCCTTTAGGTTGAATGAGCCTTGGCTTCAAGGCCCCGGAGCATTAAAGGAAATAGTACTGGAAGCTGATGGGGGTCTGAATGGAGAGCCCTGTCTTGCTCTGTTGTCCCCTCGATGGTTTCGTCTGTCTCCTATGGAAGGTGAAGCTCGGAGGTTCTGTGCAAGTCCGAGCAGGCAAGGGCAGAACCACAGCCAGGGCAGACCTTGGGGCGGCTCAGTTCAAGAGGGGGTGGGCACTGGGGCTGGGATCAAGAAGCCCCAGCACTCGGGGACAGAGGAGCCTGAACCAGAGCAGGACCGTATCCCTCCTGCCAGCGTGCTGGGTGCCGGGAGTCCAGCCACACAAAAGCACCTGCACCCAGCCCAGAGTGGGCCTTCCTCCTGCCCTGCTTTGCCCCGGGCAAGCAGCACGCTGGCAAGTGACGAGCTGTGTCCTCTTGCTTCCTAGGTTAACTACATCCTGGAATCACGAGCAAGCACTGCCCGGGCTGAATATTTTGCTCAAAAACAAAGAAAACTGAACAGACGTACAAGCTTCAGCTTCCAGAAGGAGAAGAAATCAGGGCAGCAGTGACACTGGCCCCCAGCCTCAATCTGTTGCCACAGATTGAGCTGCCTGCCAGGGCCAGGTGGCCCTAGAGCCCACCCCGTGCTCTGCAGTGCCTGGGGGAGGCCAACTCACGGGCACAGGGTCAGTGGGCTCTTGGACAGGGGGTGGGGCCAGGGGGCATCTAGGTTGGAGGACAGGGGACATTGCCAGGGGACTGCAGCCTGATTGGTGGTGGCTTTGAGTAACAATGCCCAGGGCCAGACCACCCCCTGGCAGAACCATGTGCTGTCCAGCCGCCTTCACTGCCCGATGACCCTGCCCGAGGATGTACATAGCCATGCCAGATATTTCCTTGCAACTTGATCAAATTTCTTAAAGCAAATGAAGAACAAAAGTGTATATTTCTTTTTTCCTTTTAATAAACAGGTGTACTCTTTATCATGGTTGGTATGATGGACCATTCTTTGGGGTGGAGATTAATTATGTTATTCTCTTTAAAATCTGTTCCCATATTGAACAGGCAGATTGGAAAAGCTATGGTTCGATTTCTCAGAAGAAATGTTTAAGGCTTAGTCAATAGTTTTAACTATGCCATTTGTTTAAATGAGTGCATTTGCTCTGAGGATAGTTAAGGAAGTAACTGAGTTAGGAACGAGGGCAGGGTGCTCTGTGTCCAAGGCTGTCACTTTCCTCTTCAGGAGCCTCCCTCCTCAACACACCCCAGCACTTCTGATTTCAGAAATGGGTCTTGGGACGATGTGGAGACATCTTCGGGCCATGCTGCTCCCGGCTAGAGTGGCCTCTCCATAATTAGACCTGCGCTCAGGTTTTCCTGGACCTGGAAGAGTCTCTGCCTCGCTGGCTTTGAAGGGCCCCATCTCCCCTCCGATCCCCCATACAGTGCCTGCCCAGCATGCACAGGCCAGAAGCTGCTGCCGTCCACGGTGTCCGGGAGAAGCAGCATGGAGGGAAGCCCCCCTCCTGCCACCTCGCGCCCTGGTGGGAAAGGCAAGGGGTCGGGCACCCCTGACATCACACCTCTGGCCACACCAGATGCCTCTGCAGGCCTTGCCAGGGTCCCTCCCATGGTGACATCCTTTCTACTGTCCCTGGCCAGGGCCAAGAGCTGGATGTCTCACCGACGGCCTGCATTTAAAACATTTTTTAAATCATTGTACAAGAAGAGGTGTGTCTGAACATCTCCAAGTCAAGTGGGTTTCTTGCACAAGGGGTCATTTTAATGACTTCCTCTTTCACTCTGCTCTTCATTCGGCCGACAGGAGCACCCTTTTCTAATGTCTTCCATTTCTACCCCCAGAAATAGAAGAAATATTATTTGTAGCTTGCTACCTGTATTTGAATTTTTAGCAATTTTCTATTTAGATATCTTTGAAAAATGTAAATGACTAATTTGGTCATTCAATCTTGTGACATTCAATATTAAAATATTAAAAGTCCTATAAATACCCACCTTTGCATATTGCTTTGCATTCCTTGAGTCTTGAGCACGTAACACTGCAGACGGTGACTCTACCAGGAATCTTCTGGGGGTGGCAGGTGCTGGCAGTTGACGAGGTGCCCAGTGTCTCTGCAGTGCTCTGAGAAGCAGCGCAAGAAGCAGGGCCCCTTCTCTCAAGGGTGACACTGACATTGTCACCACCTCCAGCTACCACATCAGTACCATTCCTGCCCTGGAACGCAACACACTCAGTTTACATAAAATATGCGCCAGCTCAAGGAGTGATTTAAGGGGACCACTGTGGCCACCACCAGATGCCAGGACTTGACACTCAGGTTTTCCTCAGCGCTCCCTCCCCAGGCCTTGAGGCCAGCCCATGAGCTCCAGGACACGAGCATTGCACACCTTCCCCGGCCCCAGCGTGCAGAGTGGGAGCTTGTCACGACCCAGGTGACACAGGCCACTTGAGCTTTCCACCAAGCCGCCTGACCTGGTGCCCGTGTGACTCCTGCCTGTGCGGATCATCTCTCCCAGCTGGGCCTCTGAACTCAGCGTGTTCCGAGCGACCTGGCCTGGGCTGGCTTTTGCCCACCGCCCGCATCTTGTGCTGGCCTACTGTGCGCAGGCAGGCCACATGCCAGCCCTGTGCAAAATGCGCGCCATCCCATGTCACTGCCACAGCAGCCCTTGGTGGATCCTGTCGTTACCTCTGCTGCAGAAGGGAGGACCCGGGGCTGGGGTCACCTCGCTGCCCAGACACACCACGAGCAACGGGCGGGCACCACTCCTTGCTCTTCCCTGCCCCTTGCCTCTGCCCCCTGAGGTTGGCAGCCTGCAGCTCTCCTGGGTCGTTGCTGGCCGGGCCTCAGAGTCCTGGTGAGCCAACCCTGCAGGAGGGAAGGGGTTCTGGGGTGAAGATGAGGTCATGCGGTCCAGCCTCCTCCCTCAGGGCGCTGAGTGCCTGTCACTGTCCCCTCTCAGTCTGCTGCGTGCCTCTGGCCACGGCTGCTCACTGCTGGATTCCACACACCATCCCTCCCAGGCCCTGTCCCTCTCAGTCCTCGCTTCACAGGGCCAAAGCCTGGGAGCTGGCCTCTGCCCTGTCATGTCCCTGACGAACTGTCAGCTGCTGCTTAAGGCTCCCGGTTCCCAGCTCAGGGGCTGCAGAACGTCAGGGATGCGGGGGATGGAAGCCCCAGCGGGCAGCCGGGACCTCTGCCTGGTGAGGCCAAGGGGTGGGCAGGCGGCCCCAGGCCACCCCTCAGGTGTAAGCGCTTGGAGACCAGTGTGCTGGCCAGCAGGCTCAGGTGTGAGGAGCAGGGGGCTCCTGTCAGCCCTTCCCCGTCCTGACGGAGAGAACCCCACAGCTTCCTGGGCCCTGACAAGCCCCTCCCTCTCCGCACCCCAGGACAGCTGTGACGTGGCGGGTCCCTGAGCTAGGAGGATGGGGCAGGGCTTCCGCAGCCTCCCAAGGGAACTGGAAGCCCCAGGAGGGCAAGGCCAGTCCTCTGTGGCCAACACAGGATGTCAGCAGTACCCCCATAGCATGGGACGTGTCCCCAACTTCTGGCAGAGACTCCTGCCCCGACCTTTGCCTCACTGCCAGGGAGCTGCTTCCCTTCCTCCAGGAGGAAGGGGCCTGGCTTCCCCCCAGACTCGAGGTCAGAGGTCTCAGGGCACAGACCTGGAATCAGAGCCCAGCCCCAGGCCCAGGCTGGGAGTCAAGTTAGTCACGTCACTTTCCTGCCTTGGAGCCGGGGAAACCCTGTGGACTCACCTGAGCTCTTCGGTGGGGACCCATCCGTCAAGGGAGGCTGGGGTTTTGTGTCCAGGCTGGGGCCAAAGCCCACCTCCTCTCCTTGCCCACTTTGTGCCTCCAGGTAAGGGTGGACCTGTCTGTGCCTCACTGTCCTTGCCCATAAGCGGCCATGAAAGCCTGCCCCTCTGCGCGGGTCGAGGCTCCGTGGGTCAGATGCACAGAGCCGCGTGCACAGCGCTTGAGGATGGCAGCAGTGACACTGGTGTGTCCTCCCACCTCTTCTTGATGCCATGTTACCCTGTGGTGCTGACCCTGAGGGGACCCCCCGCTTAGCCCCAGAGCCCAGCTGCCTCCACGCCCAGAAGGAGGGCACAGAGGAGCCAGGCCTCTGCCTGGGCGGGACACAGGTCTCTGCCTCAGGGACCTGCAATTCTGCCTGCTGCCAATCCCTGAATTTACCAGAAGGACTCAGACTCAGATGTTACAGGCCAAAGGAAGGTTTTAAGTCAAATGCACCTGGATCAAGGACTATTGGCCACAAATTCAACCTGGGTGAGGTCAGCATCAGCTTTGGCATCTGCAGAGTGGAGCTCCCATAATGACCTCCCCGGGAAGATAGCATGATCCGAAAACCCGCTATGCCTAGGTACGTTCCCAAATGGATTGGAAGCAGGGACTCAGACACCGGGTCCTTACAATGACAATGGGGAGGATTGGACAAGCTTCCTGGTCAGGATGGGCCAGGCTATGCTGCAGTAACAAACAGCCCCTGAACCTCACTGGCTTACCAAAGCAAGTTACTTCTCCTTAGCTGTCAGCTGTGGCTCCAACATCCTCCTCCGGCTTCCACAAAGGCCAGGGCAGGGATGGGAGGGCTGGAGATGGAGGGACATCTGTGAAGCTGTGTGGAAAGGAACACATGCTGCCACCCACTCCCACTCACATTCCACCCATCAGGTCACTCCCATGCTGACACCTACCCCAGAGGGACTGGGGATGTAACCACCGAGTATTCAGCCACCAATGTTTGAGAAGCAAAGGGCTGCCACCTTGAGATGACACCGTTCTTTTCAAGTGTCACCTTTCACAGGCCACTTGTCTACAATTTAATATTTTCCTTTAATCTAGGCTAATGTTCCCCACCTTAAACCCCATTCAAAACAAGGATAGCCATGAAGTCATGGAGTTGGAGAGCCACATGTTTTCTGGCGCACGCTCCAATGAATACACAGCTGTCCTAATTAAAACACGGGTCCTCACTGGATGCAGTGGCGCATGCCTGTAATCCCAGCGACTCAGAAGCAGAGGCAGGAGGCTCACAAGCTTAAGGCCAGCCTCCACGACTCAGCAAGACGCTGTCTCAAAGTCAAAAATAAAAAGTGATAGGGATGTAGCTCAGAGCACCCCGGGGCTCACTCCCTGGTGCCAAGGGAAAAAAAATAACATCCTCTTACCCCCCAAGACCGGTGTGTGTGCAGCATGTGACCAGAGGTGCCTAAGACTCTCAGCAAACGTCAGTGACATCAGCACTTCTTTCCCCAGTGCCCACCTCCTGCCAAGCTGTCAGCACACATCACGGTTTCATTCTCCCCCCAGCCTCATGCCCGCCCAGCCCCCATTTTGCCGAAGAGGAAACTGAGGCAAAGTCCCTCCCCTGAGGCTCTTTGTCCCCCTCCGGCCTCCACCCCCACCCCAGCAAACCTCCTCTCTCTGGGCCCTGGAGGGCCAGCACTGTGGAGCAGCAGGGAACTGTCACCTCTGTTCCCACCAACCACCTCGCGCAAAGGCAAGTCCCAACAGGGCGCTCTCCAGAGGCCGGCGTGACTGGTGAGGTGATGGGCTTGTGTCCCCAGCCTGTTCATTACCCGCTTCAATCCTCCACAGGAAAACTCGCATCAGCGCCCAGCCCCGGCCGCTCCGCTCCTGCAGCGACAGGCAGAGCTGAGCCTAAAGTGAAGGACTCATGTGCCATTCATTCATTTTTCTCACAAGTCACCATAGATTTTTAACTGCCAATGAGTGGCCTCCCGGAGGTGTGGCTGCTGCCAGGGCCCCGCCAGGCACTGAGTGGTCATTTCCGCCGCCGCCCCGCTGGCCTGGCTGGAATTTCTCCCGGGGCCAGGCGGCTGCCAGCCCGAGCCCTGCACCCGGCCCCGGAGAGGCCAGCGCAGCCGGCCGGCAGAGCTGCCCACTGGGCTTCCCGCTCCTCTGCGCAGAGGAGGGCCGCACAGTGACAGGTAGCTTGAAGTCACCCCAGCCCAGCTCAGCAACCAGACCCCAGGTGCACCCGGGGACCCACCCACCCTGCTGTCCCAGGAACAGCCCCTGCCTCCCACGGCCGGGCAGGAGAGGGCACCGGGAGGCGCCCGCACACTGTGGAGTTCCCAGCCCACCACCCCCCCCAGCCTCTCTCCTGGCCCTGCGTGGCTCTTCCTGAAGCCAGGCCCACAGGCAGACCTGCTCTCGGGGCAGGGACGGGTCAAGGGACCTTCGGGTCTAGCACAGGGCCGACATGGAGCTGTGGCCAAGAACGGGTGCCTCTGATTCCCCCTGCCCACCCTGACATCTATGGAGCACGTCCAGCCAGACCTGTTCTGGCCCTTGGAAAGCAGGGGACACAGTGTGGTGCTCCTCCCACCTGGCAGAAGAGGGGACTTTGTCTGGAGAGCCCAAAAGAGATGAGAGCTGTCGTGGGGAGAGGGACAGGCTGGGCTCAAGGCCCTGCTCCAGCCCCAGGGAACAATAAAAGCCCTAAGAGTCTGAGAAGGAATGAAAATCCTCTTCCCCGTGCTGTGGGACCCTGGACCCCATTACTCAACTCCTCTGAGCCATTTTCTTATCTGCACAAGTGAGACAGAATCCCACCTTCTTCCATGAGGAAGAAATAGGATAATGGGCAGAGGCCTACCACACAGCTGGGGACCAGGAACAGGTAGCCATGGAGCCGTAAGACCCAGTTCCATAGTCACTGAGAACACTCTGGCCTCGGCCTCCTTGGTGGCAGGGCCTCTGAGTTCCAGGAGCAGGCCCAGCCCCACCAGGGAAGCCCCCCAGCACAGACGGGGGCTGAGCCTTCCCTCCCGCCCCAGCCAAGAGCCGCAGGCAGGGCCCGTTTCTGTGTGCATCGACTAGGAATCCACAAGAAATACTCAGGCTGATTCTTTTAAAATGGTAGAATTTGTCTATATTACAGCATTCCAGCCCCCAGCTTCCTGAGAGCTAGAAATATTTTAATGTCATATTTCCATGTAA